GTCTTGGATTATGTAAATTTGATGCTTTTCCGCATGCGCATACAGGATAAGTAAGACACAATGTTTACAAGGCACAACAAAAGATGTTTTCAAAATCATCTTTGGCTAGATTACAATAAATAATATCGTTATAATAATTATTATCATTTTCATAAATATAAATGTATATGCAATGAAAAAAATAAATATATAATTTAGCAACTATATTGAATTTCAGACTAGTATAAAAGTATACTAGTATAGTATAGTATAGTATACTATTCTGAGATTCAATGTGAAACTATAATCATTTACTGTAAAATTAATTTCGCTGAAGGAATGATTCAGTGAAAATAAAATCCAGCGAATATACCGTTTTTTCTATATTTTACATTCAACTCGTCAAAATTCAGTGAAAATGAATTCCAGCTAAAATACATTTATTTTACAGTATATATTTTACAGTACAGTAAAAATCATGATGCCAAACACTGATTGGCCGAGGGGAAGACATGCCTGGATTATTTAGGTGCCTATGCGAGCGTACGTGTGTGCGGAACCTCTTGACGGTCTCATGCCACTAATCAACCAATGGCTGCTCGTAGCCAATTTAAGGTAGAGATGCAGTTTACTTGACAGGTATTTTAATTAGTTAATTAGGAAACCAAGATGACCTCCCTTGTCCACAAAATTATATATTTTCGGAAAGCTTATTGTATGAATTTAAAAATTTTGTAAGTATTTTTTTTATGGACACTTTAGTTTGAAATGTGCACAAAAATGTGCTTTTTTGGTCAAAAGTGATTAAAAAAAATTGGCTTCTAAACCATGCCTCTGTTTCCTGTCAAAATTGGTTTACGGGTACATAGGTTTGTTATGAAGAAAGTGCCGTCTTGAAAACTGCCTACCAATTGTCAATTTTGCAGGGCAGCAGCTCAAATTTCACTAATTCAAATTTATGCATAAATTAACACTCAGGCTAGTTGTCTGTACGATTGTTGTAACACTGTTCAACCAAAAACAATGCCCCGACGGCGTTTTGAAGATAAACACATTGTCAATCATTTGTGAAAATTTCAAAATAAAAGATCAAAGCGTCTAGGAGCTATTTTTTTTAAAGTTCTGGGATGTGTTCTAAAAAGAAGCTGAGATAATTTGCATAACAATTCACTCAGTAAGAAGTTTGCTAATGCTCATAATTAAAATGGCTGTTGCAGTTCCAAATTTAAATGTATTATTGTTTTGTAAAAAGTTAAATATAGTGAGATCCCGTTATTACTTATTTCACCATGTTTCTTTTTTATTATTTATGTACAGCCTTGCTAAATCTTGCTAAGCATTCAAAAGAGAGAATGTTTGCACCTGTTATCTATATTTTAAAATCGTTTTTGAGTATGTTCCACTATTCAAAATTCTACAAAATTTTAACAGTCTATAGCCATAACTGTTTGGATAATAAAAAGCTAAAAAAAAAATCACTCCCAAGTGCCCACGAACCTGCATCTCTACCTTAACTGCCTTGCAAGAAACAATGAAATTGTTTATATATTTTCTTTTCTCAGGTGCTCCCTGTTTGAGGGCGTGATTACCTGGTTCAAAGGTGAGACCAGCTTGTGGTCTTTTGTCTACTTAGTGGCTGTGTACCTGTAATCTTGGTGTTTTTGCAGTGATTTCTCTAGGTGCAATCCAAATACAGTAGGTGTATCTTGTTTACCTGAAATTTGTAAGAGTTTGAGCTGGCCAACATGTCAGTTTTTTTCATGTGGTTGACTACTGGCATGTTGATTTTTCATTTTTATATTTCAATCTCGTCATATGTTAACATTGTTGTCTATTAGTGGTATGAGCCCTGACATGACAATATTTTCTTCCCCTAAGTCGCGCCCTCTAGCGACATAAATTGGGTATTAATGGTTATGATTGATTTTGATATTTTACTAAAATGGTCGACAGACAACCATCTGAATTTGATTATGCAACGTACACACAAGGTGAATTATATATTTTTAATAATACCCTTACTGAATTAAAGTCACGAAATTAACAAAATTTAAATTTGTCTTGAACTACATTAAAATAATTTCTATATTGAAACTGATTTTCTTGTTTTTAAACAGAATAATATCCCACAGTTTGTGGAGTATCTGGTTGTACGAACAAATACAATAAATCTACAGCAATGGAAGAAACAGACTTGTCGGTCGCATTCGTGAATGCTTAAATAATACTGGTGATTGTTTTTGCCATCCTCCATACAAGTAAACATGCCGAACTAAACATGCCAATCTAAACATCGTGATAGGTGGCTAGATTTGGCGCGTTTAACAAACATTGTAGATGAGAAAAAAAAAACATTGGAATCAAAAGAATATGTTGTGAGCATTTTATTGATGCCCAACCCATAATAACAGCAGTATTGAAATTAGGATATGAAGTAACAGGGGAAAAAGGAGTATATTACCGAGGATTGAAGTTATATCAACAAAGAAACAGAAGAGTATGGAAAGTAATGACGAGGCATACCGGCACGTGCATAGTGTTGCAACAAAAAATGCACCCAGCTGAAGTTTTGTGAGGTACACAGTGATCTAACATGTGTACTGTTTTTAACATGTACTTATATTACTTACTGCATTGTTATTACTTTCTGATTTTTTGAAGTTATTAGAACTTTTAAATTTGTTGTTATTTTTAGTTGCTTTATTTTACACTAGTTTTACCATACTGTATCCACAGCAGATTACAGTTGCGTAATAAACTATTATTATTATTATTATTATTATTATTATTATTATTATTATTATTATTATTATTATTATTATTATTATTATTATTATTATTATTATTATTATTATTATATGTATAGTAAGATAACACATTCTGTGACCTTGACCTTTGATCCTTTCTCCCAAACGTGGGACGTATAGAATACACTAGACTTTTCCTCACTGTGAACATACAATCGGTACTGTACCTGACGCCGATATTAAATATTCGTTGAAATGAGAGAATTTCAGTTAGGATCACAAAAAGAAATATTCATTGTTCTGCGAATATGTTGAAGACACATCACCGCTAGAATGTGTCATGTTGTATGTCAACAATGCCCAAATATAAATCTAATCAATATCCAGTTACATCGTGTTATGTGTTTTCAAGTTCACTGACAAGGGATAAATCTCCAAATATAACTTGAACTGGAACAGACAAAAACACTTAATAATAATTAGTTATCGTGGCCACAAAATGAAAAAAAAAATGTTTTTGACGACGATGACAACGACCGTGACCAACATGACAGCCACTATATCTCGCCTTCAGTTTTTATTACAAGCTATGTTCGGTTGTGTAGTCGTTCTTTTGAAGAAACTCGACCTCTCTCAAAACATACATACACGCACAATAAAAACAATAACTGTGTTGACTGACTGTACTGAACTTCAAAGCGTTTAGTGGCTAGAGGGCGCGATTTATAGGGACGGGGTATTCTGAAACTGTCACGAATTCCCGTGAGATGTTTAGTGGTCACCGTCATTGTTTTCCTCCGTATGCCAGCCTGAACCACGGATGGCGAGAAAGGACAAAAACCCAGTTAATAATGACAAAAGTAAAATGGTATAAACAATCAAGAACGCCCTGTCAATAAGTCGCGCCACTTCCCGCCATTCTCGTAACCGTCGTTCTTGGGAGACTCCATCAAAACTTTCACTTCTGATTGTTTCATCAGCTTCAACCTGTCCACTCATAAGTCCCGTTACTTGATTAGCGTCCTTAGCACCTGCGTGATGATTCATATCGTTGATTCTCATTGGTCGCATCTCAAAAACAGATCGACGAAACATGTAGTGGATTCTAACTTGCGTGCAGGAGATGTAAGCTAAGAATTTGACAACATACTTTTTCATATATTCTGGAACTTCAGCGCATGCAGGGCCCGGAAAATGTAGATTCAGCGTATATGCTGTCACAAAAGCTGAGATGACGGCCATACCAATTAAAATCAAGAAATATGCCTCTGGATAAAATAAAACAAATATACATATATCACTGCATTTAATGAAAAAAATATATCTGTGTATGCTGACCTCTACGTCAGTGTCTATGTTGAGTTCTTTAGTTTTCGACATGTCAATCACGTCAATGTCATAGGAGATACGTAAGTCGAAGCATCCAAAAGTAAATTGGTTATTCAAACACTTCCCTCCTATGATAAGCTACAATAGTAGCAGTTGGCATTGTTCTGTTGTATAACGGCTGGATATAATGAGAGGTTTGATTGCATTGTAATAATCAGTTGTTGTTTTTTATTATTGTTCATTTCAAAGTTTGTAGTGGGTCCGGACGGATTAGTAAATTTTGGTGTTAGGGGTGTGTGCGTTGTTTCCAATTATTCTTTTTGACTAGGAGAGTTAGCTAAACACAAATTATTTATTTACTAGATTTTCAAGCCATGCTAGCAGGTAGATGTAATTATAGTTTTTCAGTCACGCCACATTTTATAAAGTTGTGAGCCAGTATCGTGCAAATTGAAGTATACGATATAATTATGCGTTTATAGTTATGAGTGCATTTCAAAAAAAAAAAAAAGATAATAAAAACGGAACTGAGCCCAAAACGATTTAGACATGCGCACACGGTTACAGGATCGACAGAACAACGATTAAATCAGATGAATGGAAATTAGGATGTGAACATCGTGTCAACACTGTCGATGTCTCAGTACGGGCATGTACTAGTTCACTTCTCTCCTATTGTCTGAATATTGAAATCAACCAATTAATCAGCCACCAAACGTTATTCCTCTGTTCGAGTTACGGAGATCGATTTACGAAAATATCGAGTTACAAATATAACCACGCCCATCCTAACTCGATGTCAAACTAACTGCCGGGTAGCAGAGCCTTCGAGTTACAAGTAATATAGATTTTTGTTTTTGTTGAACACCCACATTTAGAAATTGTAATTATCGCTGTATGTTATCCATACCTCGAAGTTCGGTTTCCTATTAATTAAAGTTTGAGTTACTAAACAAAACCAGAAATCTATATTTCCCGCGAAGTTCTGTTATATAACTGTTAACTGAACATCGACGGACATAGTTCGCAAAAGATAGCGTGTTTTTTTTTTAAATATGGGCTTGGGCATTTTTATAACTCGATATCCGTAACTCGAACAATTCAGCGTCTCGTCTCGTCTCTATTATAAAAATGAAAAAAAAATGCATGGCAGCAAAAAATCAAAAACAAAAAAAACAAAAAAAAAACACTTACGTAAATATGGGATAACTTGGCTGGTGGGCGGCATGTAATCCGACACGACGGTAAGGAAGACGAACTGTGAGAGAATACTGATAACACAGAGACTCACTCTCTCACCCGAATCGGATGGCAGGTAAAAGCCTACTGAAATTAAAACGCTTGCCAGAAACGACGGGAGAATGATGTTAACCACGTAGAACGTCGACCGTCGTTTCAGGTGTAGTGTGTATTCCACGTACGGGAAGGGATCCTCACAACAAACGTAGACAGTGGAGTTGTTCTCGACCGGCATTTCCTTTAATTCCCACTCCCCGTTACTGACGAATCTATCAATATTACTGTCATCACTTTTAACTATATCAATGTATCTACTACTGTAGCTCCAAGAAGCAAATCTAAAGACACACTTTTGTTCGTCGAATGGAAACATGGTGGCGTCGATGGCACACTCGGCAATAATGAGGTATGGTTGTAAGGCTTTGATAGTCCCGTTAGAATATATCACTACGTCTGTGTCGTAATGCCGATCAAATTCATCTTTTACACTGGAAGAGAAATTGTCAGAAAAGGATGTAACTTCAAATACATCTCAGTTTAGCCTACAATCTGTGTGGCGCACACTCACTACACACCACTCTAAAATGCCAAGTTACGATGATAGTATATCTCATGACACATTCAGCTTAGACAGACATCACACAAACACTATAGCATGAGATGTCGTAAGCATTTCAAGAAATTGAATAAGTTTACTGGTCAGTTTACATTAAATAGTGCGCGTGTAGGAATTTTCCACAATCACGCAAGTGTTTACCTTCAATCAACCAATCACGCAAGTGTTTACCTTTAATCAACCAATCACGCAAGTGTTTACCTTCAATCAACCAATCACGCAAGTGTTTACCTTCAATCAACCAATCACGCAAGGGTTTACTTTCAATCAACCAATCAAGTAGGTGTGAATAATGTCATTTAACTGAGATCATACCAAGGCGTACATCACATATAATCTAGGCTAATCCGAGGTACTCTTAGCAAGAGTAATGTAGCATTCGATAAACGACGTAGACGATGAGCGACTGGCGATGATCCGTAATCAGTTATAAAAAGTTTTGTTCAGTGAAAAAACATGCGAATAAAATTACCTGCCATAGAGGACAATGTCTGGTTGCCATATGTGCTCGATTGATATTTGTATCACATCGGCACCTCCATACAATTCAGACTCCCACTGCATATGTACATCGACCCAACTCTGGAATACAATAGTTCATTGACATTAGACGAGTCATTACAACTATACAATGGGTCATGAACATTAGACGAACCATTGCAACAATACAGTGGGCCATGAACATTAGACGAGTCATTACAACAATACAATGGGTCATGAACATTAGACGAACCATTGCAACAATACAATGGCCCATGAACATTAGACGAACCATTGCAACAATACAATGGGTCATGAACATTAGACGAGTCATTACAACAATACAATGGGTCATGAACATTAGACGAACCATTGCAACAATACAATGGATCATGAACATTAGACGAACCATTGCAACAATACAATTGGTCATGAACATTAGACGAGTCATTACAACAATACAATGGGTCATGAACATTAGACGAACCATTGCAACAATACAATGGGTCATGAACATTAGACGAGTCATTACAACAATACAATGGGTCATGAACATTAGACGAACCATTGCAACAATACAATGGGCCATGAACATTAGACGAACTATTGCAACAATACAATGGGTCATGAACATTAGACGAGTCATTACAACAATACAATGGGTCATGAACATTAGACGAACTATTGTAACAATACAATGGGTTATGAACATTTAATAGACGAGTTAATACAACAATACAATAGGTCATAACATTAAACGAACAATTCGAACAATACTTTGGGTTATGAACATTAAACGAGCTGTTACACCAATACAATGGATTATGGACATAAGACGAATTATTGCAACACTACAATGATTCATGAACATTAGACAAACCATTGCTGCAATACAATGGGCTACGAACATTAGACGAGCCATTATAACAATACAACTGGCCATGAACATTAGACGAGCCATTACAACACTACACTGGGCTATGAACATTAGACGATCCATTATAACAATACAACTGGCTAAGAATATTAGACGAACCATTGCAACAATACAATGGGTCATGCACATTAGCATCGTCCGAATCGCACGGTTTCGCTAAGCCCGGCCATTCAATTCCAGCCCACGAACCCGTGCGTGATCGTGTCAGGAAAAGCTGTATTTCACTACAGTTAAATTGAGTCATTTGATTGGGCGCGCCAAGAAGCTGGCGCTACAAATCAGCGTTGCTGTATCATTAATTTGAAGATCCGGGGTCATCACAGATTAAAACAATGGCAGCGTGTAGGCTTTGGGTTGATTCACCGGGAGTCAAGAACAGAAGGTCTATGTTCGTTGACACGTTTCCATTTTTTTTTTCATTCCAACGTTGGAAATTGTTCGTGGACAAGTGAATGAAGACTGTGGAATGTTTAAATATTTGTGCAAACCGTGTTTTAAACTGACAACACTGTTGAAACAGATAACATGTCGACTTGTCCGATACGTTCTTTGTTGCAACTAACACGTCATTTCCCTTAGAAACAGCACTAAGTTTTTTTTCTTTTGATGGTCAGTAAGCTCGTTCACAGAGAAAAAGCTAGCAACACGTTGATTTCTATATTCAACCGAGCTAGCGCCACGATTTTACCAAGTAATATACCGTTTCTATCGTGGGTTCTGATTGGGTAAATCAAATGAGCCTAAGTGAATCTTATAATCGTTTGAGGGCGTGCGACATACAGTAAATCGTGGTGAAATCTGCCAAGGGTTAATGTTGAGGCTTCGGCCGAATAAATGGTCCTTGGCTGGCGAAGATGGAACATTAGATGAACTATTATAACAATACAATGGGCTATGAAAATCAGATGAGCCATTGCAACAACAACAGTGGGTCATGAACATTAGACGAGCCATTACAACAATGCAATAGATCATGAACATTCAATAAACGAGTTATTAAAACAATAGATAGGGACCATCAACAATAGACGTGCCATTAAAACAGACATTGGATCATTAACATGGGATGAACAATTCCAACAATACAATGGGTTACTAGTATAAACATTGCACAAACCATTACAACAATACAGTGGGCCACAAACATTAGACGAGCCATTACAACACTACAATGGGCTATGTACATTAGACGGGCCATTCCAACAATACAATGGGATATGAACAGTAGACGAACTATTACAACAATTCAATAGATCACAAATTAATTAAAGTTACTATTCGACGACTCTGAGATTATTGATTTGCCCCTAATGCATTATCTTACCGTTCTCCACGGTACATTGTAAATAATAATCAAAGAGCAAGTCAGGCTTGCACGTATAAACACCACAGCAAAATTGATAAATATAGCTATTCCTGAAACACGGGAATGAAGATAAAATTCGAGGTTACAATCGTCACATGGTGACACCCGCAATGGACTAAATTCTTTTAAATTACTATTATAATTACTATTCCATTAGATTCGTGCATGTCAATGGTTATTTTGTTTTTATATGTCCGTACACGTCCGCAAGCATAATCACAAACACACTTTTTTAACTTCCAGGTGTAGAGGAAAGGCTTCGTGATTCCCTGACCCAATAGACAATTATTTCATTCAATAACTGCATTATATGGCATGGTATACATACCTGCTCTAACCAACACTTTAATTTTATTACTTGGTTCTTTTCGTCCTGTGAAAAAAATAAAACAAATGGAAAGTTCTCAACACACCGCAACAAAACAATCTGAAAATATATGAGACCTTTCGTACATGTTTATTTTTGTGACTGCAATAGCCATGCCCGAATTTTTCGTCATGAATTGACGCTTTTATTTGCGGATGCAGAACCGTTATTCACAATGAACTAACGAATCTATGTATTGTGCAAGGGTTATTATATTCTGTGTGTTTTCAAGTTAGCACATTGTGACAAGTGACAGTTTCATCATGAAATTGGATTATTTGGGAGAAGCCTGACGACAACAACACTGGTTTGCCACAAAAAAATTAATGTCTCAGGGAAAATATATTGCATACGTACACAGGGAACAATATCCCTGGGTATTTCAAACTGGCCGTTGCCATTTTGTTTTGTTTTTTTTAGAAAAAACAAACAAACGGAAAAGTGCTCTAGGTTTTTCGTAGGAAACTGAAAAACCCGTTTTTCAACTTGTTTCTTAATTCAGTTTTAAGTCGTATGCCACATACAGTGAATCAAGATGGCTGCCCCATACAGTAAATATCGGCAAATTATTCGCATTTATCGGATTATCATTTGAGTAAATCTGTTTATCATAAAGGTGTTTTTCTTTTTTATGGTTATCGTATCGCTAAAATGCCCCTTTGAGGAGTTATCTTGACAGAGACTAAACATCTACTGCAGAATGAAAAACAGTTATTCCCCATGAAATGACGAATCTATTAGAAGAAGCGACACAGTTGTTCGTCGTGAAGGGATGTATCCATTGGGATATCGTGAATTGACGAGTCTTTTGGGGGAATAAAAAGAATTGTTTGCTATGAATTCACTAAATGTCCGAAGTTGTTCGCTTTGAACTTCTGAATATATTAGATGATGGCAAACAGTTATTTACCACAAATCGAAGGACGTTCTGGAAGATAAAAAACGGTTCACTATGAATTGACAAAACCTTTGCTGAATGCAAAGTCGTGAATTGATAAATTCATTGTGGAACAGTTGTTCATAATGAATTGGCGAATCATTGGAAGATGAAAAACAGTTGTTCTGTGAATTGATGAATGTATTGAAAATAATTTTTTTCCCATGAATCGATGAATTCATTAGAGGATGCAAAACAAATGTTCACCATGAATTGGCTGGAGAATCAATTGGAGGATCTAGGCGTCAAACCGGTTGAAATGACCCATAACATTGCAACATACCATGTCTATCAGTTGTATCGGCGTCATTCGGTGGGTTAGCGTAATAACATCTGAATCATTTCTCACTGGACGGACGGAGTATTTAGGATAATCGCCCAGTAACTTCTCCACTAAGTCAGCAACAAACTGAGATACTGCAATAGGAGAACAGACTGTACACGGACAGAGGTGGAAACAAGAATATTAGCTATGAGATTACATTACTTATATCTTTAATTTAGTAGACATTGGTCGCAACAAATATATTTACTTTAATATATTTGAAAACTGGTGGCTGCTAATGTATATATATACTTTGCTCGTAATAGTGCCCTCTATTGACAAAGCGTAGGAGATGAATATGTCATTTACACTGTAATTATTATGAGAGAATTATTATGTTGTGAATGACAAACGACTACATAAAAAATACAATTATCGCTTTGATCGGCATAGCTTCACTGATCTACGTGATGTGTACGTCTCGAAGGTGTAGTTCATACATTTCTCTTACATTCATCCTTCCCACACCCGACGTACATTAATACTTGTACTTCAGTGTAGCGCCCTCGACGATGCAATTGATCCACAAGCTCATTGGGCAAGTAATACTAGTACATTGATATGAGGCTCTTTATCTCGCAAAATCTTAATGTAAACCAGGACTATGGGGGAACCAGAATTGTAATGGCCTATTACAGCGTATGACGTATGGTTGGCGTGTGTACAAATTCTTTGCAATCTGAGCACTCGCAAGGTTGGTGGAGCTTGTTAGCTTGTGTATTTATCTGGTTGCGTCACTTATGATATTTTGTACGATATTTGTTATGTTGTTGGACATATACTCCAAATATGAGCAAGACTAGATGTAATGATTGTGGTTCAACTACTGATGTCACTTTTAGTCAAGGCGACCTGGATTTATGTCCTGATTGCAAGCAAAAACGGTTTGGACGGCATGCACGAATGGATGATGGCATTGACAATGACAATGGCTATGTAGGCTCTACGTATCCTAACCGTAAGTCACAAAATAATGAAGCATCTCCCACATCTGCTCCAATCATTAGCGAAATGCTGTGTTTTATTGTAAACAAAGATGGATATTCTTGCTATAGATATTATTACTAAACTGTGCACTGATTTCTATACGGACTCGGAAATAGAGTACGCCAACTTGAAGGTGTTATTGTTTGATATGTGTGGTGATCATAGCTCAAAACGTCTGATTCGCCGACAAGGGCATACAAAATCTATGAATAATGTACAAGATATTTTGGTTCTGTTGCAAGAGATCGACCCGGATTATATTCCGTGTTTTGTAGCTAAAACCCCTGTCGAGGCTACCACCTGTAGATTATAATCATGTTGACCTATCATTACTATTGAAAGATAACACTCAATCTAAACATTGAATCTTGACATTGAAGCATTGAAAGAAGGTTTGAATTCCATGTCTAAATTGCATGGGAATATATTTGACGAACTTCGTGCAATCAAAGAAAAACTATTGGTTAAAGCTGACACAACTATGTTAATTAATGCATGCGACGACACTGAATTACCTGTCGCG